ATTTTAAGATTATAATCTTAATTACACAAAGTTGTAAAATTCACAAATTATTGTAATTTAGGATTATAATCTATGTGATATATATTATGTATATATACATATATGTGTGTATGCTTGTGTGTGTGTGTGTGTGTATTTTCTTCTCACATTTCCCCAGGAGCAATTGTTCAATATTTATTAATTCTGTTTTTACAGCAACTTTACAGAATATAACTATCATGAATAATGAGAATTGACTGTATATATTCATTCATTTTCACATTTCAAAAAACTAAATGGTAATGAACTATTTTCTTTGTCTTCCACTTTGTTTCTTTTCACGTAACATTATGTCCTGAAGTTCACTCTCTATAGTTTATAGAAGTATTTCTTTATGTCCCCTTCTTACAGCTAAATAGCATTGTTTTACTGTTTTGTGAATATACCATAATTTATACAACCAGGCCTCTGTTAATAGATGTTTATGTTGACTACTATCTTTTGGTACTAAAAATAGAACTGCAATGGATAACCTTTGACTATGTATTTTTTTTTTGCCAATGTATCTTTAGCTATATTTCTGGAAATGGAGTTTCTGAATCAAAGGGTAAAAGCTACATAGTAGGTTTTAGAGATATGTGCGTATATTTGATAATCCTCCTCTTAAGAGGTGCAGTTCAATCCCCATTCACTTTTAGCAAACAGTAGAGAAGAAGAAATGAATCATCACTTCCGATTTCAGTTATAAAAAGACTGTGGCTTCTGCCTTGTGTGTGCTCTCTCTCTCCCTTCCTTGACTAACTTGGTCTTGGGAGAAGCCAGCTACCGTATCGCAAGGCGGGCTTGAGGACAGCGAAGGCCGCTACTGCGTCATGAGGATAACTGGATGGCCTAAGGAAAGGCCCCCGCGGTGAGGAGCTGAGCTTGGCCACTGGTATTCTGAGGCTTGTCATCAGCCCCTTGTTTGAGTTTGGAAGCATGTACTTCTCCAACTGAGCCTTGGAATAGCTGCAGTGATGGCTGACAGCGTGGCTGAACCTCATCAGAGACTAAACCTGAATCACCCCATTGGGGCTGTTCCCAGAGCCACCCCATAGAAACCACAAAGTGTAGTTTGTAGATTGAATGTTTGTAATTTAAAAGTGCTAAGTTTCAGGAACTCCACTACACAGCAATAACTAATATTAATACATGTAGTTTTGTTAGCTATTGTCAAACTTTCTACAGAGGGGCTACACCATTTTTCTGCCCTACTGGTAATATATGAGAATTCCTGAGTCCTACAGCCTTACTGAAACTGTTTCCAAATTTAGAATACTGTTCTTTATAAGCTAATAAATGAGAAATAGTATCTTATTGTGGCTCTAATTTTTATTTCATTATGAGATCTCGCCTTCAATTTATTTTTTAATGAGATACTACATAAAGATAGATTCTCATCACTCTTAGGATTAAGAGCTAAAGTTTCACGATTCCTACAAGGCTCTCTGCAGTCTGACCACATGCCAAGTCTGTATTTTCCATTGGCATCACTCCTCAAGGATTCTGAATTAATCCTGACTATACCCTTAGCGCCTAACACTGTGGCTGTACATACTATCTTAAGCACAGGGCATGCCACAAATATTGATGTAACCAGAAATTTAAATGGGAGTGAGTGATCACAGCTGCCCATTTCTTACCCTCTTCTTTGTCTTGACCAAACATTAGACCTCTTTCCTCCTCACAGGTCCCTAAACTGTAGCTTGTCCACAGGTTTAAACACACACTAAAGCAGTACGTATGTGTGAACAGCATCCCTTCACAGCTTATTCTCAGAATCTTAGGACTCCAGGAACATTGCTTGTTGATGTGCCCTGGTTTTGCCACTTGAACACCCACACCTCTTAAAAGCTCCTGCTAACCCTTCTTAGTCCTTCCTATAAAAGTCTTTTTCTGTTTGATTTTGAGATGCTTACAGATTTCTGAAATTGGAGTGTTCTCCGTATTAAAATAATCTTTCTGAATAAAACCACTTCTTATCTAAGTTCAGATTTGTTTTTGACATGAGCATAAAGCTTCTAAATGTAAAACTGCTGTTCATTTAATTACATAAGCCCAAAATCATGGCTCCTGTGAAAACTGGTGATACAAAATTGTATCTATGCACATAAAACTTCAGTTTAACATTCATTTTTGTAAAGTATAAAAGTTTGATGTAAGGTCTAGAGGTTAGAATAACAATGATGTCTTATTGGTTCATTTTTTAAATCAAGTGTTTTCTTTTTTTTCTGAAATCTAAGATCATCACTCTCTTCCTTATTATTATTAGTATTATTATTATTATTTTACTCTCCGTTTTCCTTGTGTCAGTCTCCCTCTCTGTCTGAGCCTCCTGGGTTGTCCCTTAGCTTCCCACTTCTGTTCCTAAGCCTCCCAATTGTGCCCTTCTTTCTCCCATATCTCCGCCTGTCCTTTGCCCCTATTATCCCTGCTTTCTCTTGGTCTCTCATTCTCCACTTCTCATCCCTTTCTGTGCCTATCTTCTCTTCCTTATCTCTGTTTTCCTTTTTCCTTAGTTGGCCTCTGCAACTTACTACTGCAGTAGTAATTTTCCCTAGAGAATTCTTTATAATCGTTTTTAGCATAAAGCTCATTACTATTCCGCCTTCTTCCCCGTGCCCCCTGCCGTCCCTCGGACCCTTTTCCCACAGTGGAAACGCCCCCAAGGGGACTGTACCATTTCGCCTTTCCACCCCTCTCAGAAAGTAGAACCTCCCGGTATCGGGCTGTACCATCTACAAACATCTAAAATACATACACGAGAATATTTTACTATTCCAAACTCTTCCTTTCTCTTTCACAGAACGCAGTCTTCTAATTGAAGACATAGCACTCAAACTTCTCCCCCAGTGCTTTTGTGAAAATCTCTCTGCAAAGCTTGCACCTTACTAGTTGGTATAATCCTCCTTTCCGTCACCTTCTCCCCTCCCATCGCCGCCGGTGGTGCAGCTCAACCAGAGGCTCGTGGTGAAAGGGTTCCTGCGTGTACGGAACTGCACGGGCCCTCAACATGGCGGCTCCCATTGGAGCACAGTACGTGGCGGCGGCCACATTGTCTCCTGAACAAAGCCGCGGTGGATGCGAAGTGGGCAGAACCGCCCAGAAGGAATCAGCGCAAACTCAGAAGCCTCGCACTCTGCTCACCCAGACAGGAAGCACAAGAGTTCATTAATGTGGATGTGACAGCTCTCTCGGGTTAAGCCTTGACCAGCGTTTTGGGACCTGATAACGGAGCCGCAGGTCAGAAAGCTGATTCGTGCGGTGAGAGTGCCTTGGGTTGGCAGTGGGAAGGGAGGAGTCCGTGGGGGTCAGTGATTGGAGGTTTAAGAAGTCGTAGTGGAGAAGGAATGTGGGATTGGTGCTGCGTTTATTTGGGGAGTCAGGGATGGTGTGAGCTATGAGATTAGGAATTGAGGAGTGATGTGCCAGTGGTGGGGCTGTCTGTGGGATCAGAAATGGCGCGTAGGGGGACACACTGGTGGGGATGACTGGGGTCGGTGATTCACGCTGGTGCTGAAGATTAAATTACGGGGAGGAGGGTGGGGGGTGCGTCCACGTAGTGGTCAATCAGGAGATGGGCATAGGGGAGTTCGGTCGGGTGTGTGATCGCCAGGCTCGAGGATTCAGCGACTTGGCTAGAGCAGCAATGGTATCAGGGCATCATGGTGATCAGCCCCAATTTACTGGGGACGGTTTTTTACATACATTAAAACTTCCACAGGTCATAGGCAACTCTCGGGTTTTTAAAGGTCAAACCCCCTCTCAAGCCATCATTTCATCCTTAATCTGGCTATCCCTGAAGAAACGACCATTTTAAAACAAGACCCAACAAAAACGATAGGATTATTATGAAAAGTGTGATTTTAGTCCTACCTCTTTCTAAGCTTGTTGAAATCATTTTACATTTCATTGCAGAAACATTTATTGAGAACCTGCTGGGTGCCCAGAGATCAGTACGATTATGTTTTCTGATTGTTCCCTTCCAGATCTGTTTCGATAAAATCTCCCTGTCATGGGAGGGCTCACTTCCTCTGAACCAGTTCAGTCCTGTCTGCATGACTCCTGGGACTGAGAAAAATTTACCAGGTATGTACTTTTTCTGCATTGAGCAAGACAAATTTAAACAGAAGACATCTCAAAACTAACATTTAGATCCATGAATACTGATTGGCAGGAGAGTTTTCTGAGTTGAGGGAAATAGAATAGAATATGTGAATTCAGCTGCTGGTTCTTTCTGAGGAATAAAGGAATGCATTCCTTACTTTTCCATCTGGTCATTGCCATTCCAGTTGCTAGGGAACTCCATCTACAGTTAAATCTTTATGCAGATCTCTCCATGTTTATTGCCTTATGACAACAGTTTACAAATATAATGGCTGGTTCATAGGAGGAAAGGTAAGTTGCTAGTAAATCAACATGTAACATCTTTACATCCATACAATTAAAAAAACTTGTGAGTTCTGTGTGACCGTAGTATAGTTACAAGAGGACTTCCTTCCCATGTGCTTGTTGGCCATCCTGTAAGGACCAAGCAACCTTCTCCCACAGGTTGGCCTGTCATCCACCCAACTTCTGGTGGCCGTTGCTTCTAGACTGGACTGGCAAACATGGAAGCTGCAGTCTGGGTCTGGTCCCTAAAAATGTCCTTCTGACTACTTGTTTTGCTTTTTCAGGCATCTGCTCTTTTGGAAGACGGCAGAAAATGATGAAGTCCCAGGTGAGTTGCTTTTATTTCTAATTTTTTAAATCACTTCATTTGTTTTCCATACAATCAAAGGGAAAAGTAAAAAGACCTAAAATTTGGATTAGGGAAAAGGTACAATAGCAAAAAAAAAAAAAAAAAAAAAAAATCAAGACCTAGAAAGAGTTTTTAGTTGTAATATGTAGATAACCTGGCCTGAACCATTTTTAAAAATTGATGTCCCATTTTTTTCCCATCTTTCTTGCAAATATCAGTTACCAGATTTGCAATCCTCTTAAGAAAAAGAAGATAAATTTCCCATGGGAAGAAATGATTTCGAGCCACGTAAGACTAAAACTTCCTTTTTCAGGTCTTTGTTTAGGTGATGAAATGCAGTGTTCTCACCAGCAGTCCTTCCTGCGGTAAATGCAATAGTAGATTCCTTGTAGCTGTATCATACAAGGATCTCTTCTAGAGGGAAAGGCATCAGTGTCAGAGCCAAAATCCTTGAACTTGATCTTTTGGAGCTAGGGTCATCAAACTATCGCCTGTGGGCCAAATCCAACTTTCTAGAAGCCAAGTTTTACTGGCAGCACAGCCATGCCTTTTGTTTGCTGGTTGCCTATGGCTGTTTCGGTGCTGCAGTGGTGGAGCTGGGTCACGTGGCCTGCGCTGATGAAAATGCACACTTGACTGAAAAGGTTTGCTGGCCTCTGCTGTAGAGGACCAGACTGGCTGCAGAGGCTTCCTATTGTCAGCTTCATCCAAGGTAAAATCTAGATAACTTAGGATGGGGACATTCTGAATGGTCTTCCAAAAAATCTATTTCTCTCAAAAGGCAGTTCTTGAGTTATAATCATCTGTCAAAAGTCTGGAGAGCAAGGGCCGCGCAATGCTTCATTTTCTTTCCTGTGATTTGGTGAGTTTGTAGGATTACTGTTCAACTCAAGGCCAGTTTCTTCTCTGCTTTTCCACTTTTAACAGTCTGTATTATATTTTTTTCCTTGTCAACATTTGCTATCTACATGGTACATAAATTTTAAACTGTATAAAAAGATAAAAATTAAAAGCTGAGAGACTTTTAACCTTTAAACTAGCCTCCTCCTGAGAAAGCAGTGTTAATCATTTGTTTTTAACTTTCTACACGTTTTATGGTATAACTGCAGGTGTATATATGTGAAAGTATAAATAATGCAAGTACAAATATTCTTGCGCTTTTCTTTTGGAAAAATAATCTTCTATTAAACATTCTGTTCTGCAACTTGTTTTTTAACTTCACTGCCCAATATAAAGATTTCTGTGTACATTTTCAGTAGCTTCCCATGCCAGTACATAGCATTCTCCTTTATTATTTTAGCAGATGTCTATTTCCTTGTGGCCTGGTTGACTGGAGTTGTTTCCTCATCTGTAAAATGGAGATCATAATCCTCATAGGGTTGATAGGAGAATTAAGTTGGGAAAGAAAGCAACCATGTTTATAACTATATGACTGGGGATGGTTTGTTCTATATTTAAGTGTTAGCTGTTGTTATTATATCATCATTATTATTGTCAATCTTGAAATCAGCTTTTGTATTAGAAGTCCTTATATATATTTTATAGTAGAGTTTAACAACTGAGTTCTCTTGTGAAAAGACAGAGTTTTTTTCTTTCTTGGATGTCAGTAACTTTAGAGCCATGTGTCTCATACAAAGCCATCAGCCACATGTAGTTATTGAGCACTTGACACCAGCTAGTCTGAAATGTGCTATAAGTATGAAATGCATGCTGGATTTTGAAGATACAATTTTAATTCACTAGTAATTTTAAAGATTGATTATATGTTAAAATCATGTTTTGGATATCTTGAGATAAATATGTATTATTGAAAACCATTTTTTGAACTTGGCTATTCCAACATTTTGCTTTCATTTGCCCCGTATCTTCCATTCTCCCAGTCATCCAAGCTGTAAAAATTATTTATAGATGACAAAAGTACAATTTCCCACTGGTTATGCATGATATTTTTCTCAAAAGTAACAAGACTTATATATATTTAGTAAACTGAAACAAATATAAATAATAAAGCAAAACCGTAATGTTAGAATTACATCTGCTCATATAAATTTTCCTGTCAGAATGGATTTCCTCTACATTCAGTATTTATTATCTTTTTCATGTTATTGTTCTTCAGATCAAAAGAATGTAATTCACTAATGCACAAAAATATGTTTAACTTAACATGAACTTTATTTTATTCTCTATAATCTTCACTCATTCCCTTGTAGGAAACAAATATATGTCATATGCACTGGCTACCTGTAGAATAGCTCAAGGACATTTAGGCATTGTTCATTTCTGGGAGGAATGATGGAGAAAAATACGGTTTAAAATGTGGAAATCAACATTGACATATAGACATTTGATCAAGGAACCGGTACAGCTGCGGGGGTCGGGGGAGGGAGCAACTAGCTTTATAAGGCAGTTGGGAATAGGACTCAAAAATTATTGAATTTTGGATCATGAGGGAAGTAGGGTGAGGATGGGAAACAGCATTTGCAAAAGTAAAAAGAACAGAATGATTTTAGGAAGGCTGAGAATTAGAGGGAAACTGAAGTGGAGGGGTTTCATGGACAGTTTGGCTAAAGGTGGTATTAAAGTCATAAAACATAAAGATCTTGTTTACAATCTCAAGGAGGCAGTGTTCAAGAACCCAGGGTATTGAATCAGAACACTCACTTTTAAATCTGAGTTTGAACCAATCATATATTCAGTGTGTAACTTCTGGCTGGCAGTTAGTTAAGCACTGTCATTCTCAGTTTTCTCAAAAGTAAAATGGGAAAATTAATCAAATTGTTACGAGGATAAACTAAATGTTTGGTAGCTTGATGATGTGATTATGGGACTTGGTGTGGGATGAGGGAAACCGAAAGATTGAAATGAGGCTATTTGTATATTCAGGGGTGGGTCCAAAGGAGGCTGTGTAAGCAGGGGACTGTTGATATTTAAACAATATTTAATTTGTTTTCATCCTGAAAGCAATATTTTTTTAATGGAATATTTAGGAGAAAATCTGAAAAATAGTTTAAAATAATATGGATCACTCAAATTCTATTAGATGACAACTACTGTGAACATAATGATGACATAATTAATGCAGTCAGTTTCCCCTTCAGAAACATCTTTTGGCTCTACACTTACCCAAGGCCTTTATTTTAATGCCATGTCAATAATTTGTTGTGGGTTTGGTTTTTGGTTTTTTTCATGAATGTTTCCTGCACGTTTCTTAAGTTCATTCTTTGGTATTGCTATTTCAATCAACATATTTCATATTACTAGCTATTGAGTGTAGATAGATAGGTGTAATAGAACTGATAGATTTAAGGGAAGCTAAGATTATTTTTTCTATAAAATGAGTGGATTAGATTATAATCTTCAAGAACTTTGATATTCTGTGATTCTCTAAATGTACTTAAAAAGGCCTTCTCTCTGTAATTACTAATAAAAATTTTTGTTACTTTTATGGTTTTGGGATTTTTTTTTTTTTTACAGTTAAAATACTTGCTCCATCTAGACTATATTTTTTCTACTTCCTAAGACATAAGATACGGTGCTTTAGTTTGCTGGGACTGCCATAACAAAGTACGACAGACTGGGTGGATTAAGAACAGAAATTGATTCTCTCACAGCTCTGGAGGCCAGAAGTCAAAACTCAAGGTGTCAGTAGGATTGGTTCCTTCAAAGGGCTGTGATCGAGGGTCTGTTCCAGGCCTCTCTCCTGGGATTGTAGATGACCATGTTCTCCCCATGTCTCTTCATATCACCTCCTTTCAATGCCTATCTGTCTCTGTTCAAATTTCTCCTGTTGATACGGACATCAGTCCTATTGGATTAGAATCCACCCTAATGACCTCATACAAGTAATGCCATCTGCAATGACCTATTTCCAAATAAGGTGACATTCTGAGTCACTGGGGGTTAGGATTTCAACACAGGAGTTTTCAAGGGATACAGTTTAGCCTATATACAACACATGGATTCAACATGATTCTTTTCCTGTTGATTATCCCGTTTTTTTCAGTCCTATTCATTGAATAATCTATTTTCCTCCTGGTTGTTTGAATGCTGCCCTTATCACATGTTAAATTACCACTTGTATTACGTGGGCATTTTGTGATTTACCTCTTCTGTTTTCCTGATCTGTCTGGCTCTTCTTGCTAATGACAGGATTTCTCATTGTTTCCCCCAAATATGATGCACAACTAGGGGTAGATGTAGTATTGCATGCTGTAGTAGAAATAAGAATGATCACTTTAGATTGAACACGAATATACCGTTACAGGGGTTAGTATCGTTCAAGGATGTGGCTGTGGATTTCACCCAGGAGGAGTGGCAGCAACTGGACCCTGCTCAGAGGACCCTGTACAGGGACGTGATGCTGGAGAACTACAGCCACCTGGTCTCAATGGGTAAGGGTGGCTTCCCTGCATAACCCAGACTCATACAAATACCTTTCCCTGTCAGTAGCTGTGGTTAGGTGGTTCCTGACATATATAATGACTTTTATGATCTTCATACCTTCTCAAATGGAGATCATTATTCTGTGGAGGGCCAACTGGACTGCTTCACTTTAGATTTAAACCTCACCTTCTCTTCTTCCTTCAGTGCAGTGTATCCCAGTTCCTCTGTGATTTCCATTTACTAGGGCATCCAGTTTCCAAACCAGACGTCATCTCCAAGTTGGAACAAGGAGAAGATCCATGGATCATAAAGAGAGACATATCAAATTGGCTTTTTACAGGTAAAAATCAGACAGATGGGAGACAAGGGAATTGAAATTCAGTTTGTTTGTTTTGTTTTGTGTAATTAATTGGTGCCTGAAGCTTATGTGTCTGTTCTTAATTGAAATATCTTCTTGCTCCTGTGCTGAGAATTTAGTAGGCATTCACCTAATAATCCATTAAATCTTTGTGAATCTTTATAGGGGGAGCTATTTCTTATTGGTTCTCATTCCTTCGTGTGTGTGTGTGTGTGTGTGTGTGTGTGTGTGTGTGTGTGTGTGTGTGTATTTTATGGAAAGGCTTACTAGGCAATAGAAGGCGCATAGGTTGTACTTTAGAAGATAAGATTTCCTGGTATATGGCTGTACAAAATTAAATACCAAATACAGTTAGTGTTTTTAAAAGTTTGGAGAAAATTAGAATCTAAAGAGATGCAACAGCCCTAGCTGTTGTGGTTCAGTGGATTGAGTGCCGGCCTGCGAACCAAAAGGTTGTTGGTTTGATTCCCAGTCAGGGCATATGCCTGGGTTGCAGGCCAGGTCCCCAGTAAGGAGCATGTGAGAGGCAACCACACATTGATGTTTCTCTCCCTCTGTTTCTCCCCCTCTCTCTAAAAATAAATAAATAAAATCTTTAAAAGAGAGAGAGAGAGAGAAAGAGAGAGAGATGCAACAGAATTTGGAAAGGCCTTTTTCAGAGCATGCATTAGTAGTTGCTTTGAAAGACGTTAAGTGTTAATGATGCCGAAGTAGGAGCATGAAGGCAAACTTGTGTGGTGATGGTGGTGGGGGGTGTATGAGTTAGGAAAGCATGACTCTGCTGGGTGAACTCTGCTAGTTTTATTTGACATGTATAGAAGATAAATGTACTGAATGTGGGGAAGATATTTATGAGGAATAGTGGAGTTCAAGGTTGGATTTCTGGTGTGAATCTGATCCTGAATCCAAAACAGGATCTTGGATTTTTTTTTTTTCTCTGTTGTTTGTGTTAGTTGTTAATTAGGAATGTAGACTGATGAGAGTTAAAATATTTTGAGTACTTTGTTTGAGGAGAGAACTTGTTTCTTCGGATCGTAGTGGCAGGGTAATAGGAGTTAAGTATATATAGCAAATGGTTTATAAAATAAATGAATTGAAAAGGTGAAAAGTGTTTCCCTTCAGAAAGCAGGAGAATTAGGAAGATTCTAGAATAATAATCCAAGGTTAGAGTGATAATATCTCAGAAACTTTTCTCTCTCCTTAAAGTCTCACTTTTCCATGAAAATATCTCTTTGACATCCTTGTCTCTCCATTCACCTGGTCATACCAGATGCTATGCTAGGTATACCATACCTTACAGGATGGCCTTTCTCCATCCCTGTTTTCTGAGTTCATCATCTACATTGGATCAATTATTTGTTTCACCCCTCTGTGTTCTGTTAACTGTTCTTTATGATTGTTTTATTTATCTTTCTTTTCTTTAGACAGGAAGCATAACCTTGACAACCCCCAACCATGTATTTTGGGGTCTTTTTCCTTCCATAATAAGACACTGAAAGGTGTCACAAAGGATGGGTCATTGTACTCCATTTTAAAAGTATGTCCAGGTGATGGCCAACTGCAGCGATGTCCAGAAAACCAAGACAGACTTTTCCGTCAAGTTACAGTTATCAATAACAAAACAGGGACTGTGGAGTCAGGCCATAAATGTGATGCATTGGGGGAAATTTTTCAAGAGTTCATAGAGCCAGATACCTCAAGACAAAGACCCCATAACTATGATGCATTTAAAAAGTACTTGAAATCTAATGTTGACCTACCTAGTTGTAATAAGACTAGTTCAAGAAAAAGCCCTGAGGAGAGTTTTGGATGTGGAAAATCATTTAGCCATGATGTGTCTAGTTCTAATCTTGAGAAAATTCAAAATGGAGTAATACCCCGTGATGATAATCAATGTAGAAACATTTTCAGCAATAAACGACCCCTTATTCAGTATAAGAATGCTGAAACTAAAGAGAAGACCTGCATATGTATTACATGTGGAAAAGGCTTTGCTAAGAAGTTACAGCTTATTGTACATCAACGAATTCATAGTGGAGAGAAACCTTATGATTGCAGTGCGTGTGGGAAAGCCTTCAGTGAGAAGTTTCATCTCATTGTACATCAGAGAACTCATACTGGAGAGAAACCTTATGAATGTTCTGAATGTAGAAAAGCCTTCTCTCAAAAATCATCCCTCATTATACACCAGCGAGTTCACACTGGGGAAAAACCGTATGCATGTAGCGACTGTGGGAAAGCCTTCTCCCAGAAGTCACCTCTCATTATACATCAGAGAATTCACACAGGAGAGAAACCTTATGAGTGCAGAGAGTGTGGTAAGGCCTTTTCCCAGAAGTCACAACTGATTATACATCACAGGACTCACACTGGAGAGAAGCCATACGAGTGCACTGAATGCGGGAAAGCCTTCTGTGAGAAGTCCCACCTCATTATACACAAAAGAATTCACACTGGAGAGAAACCCTACAAATGTGCTCAATGTGCAGAAGCCTTCAGCAGGAAGACAGAACTCATCACACATCAGTTAGTTCATACTGGGGAGAAACCTTACGAATGTAGTGAATGTGGGAAGACCTTTTCCCGGAAGTCACAGCTCATCATACATCAGAGAACACATACTGGAGAGAAACCCTACAAATGCAGTGAGTGTGGAAAGGCCTTCTGTCAGAAATCACATCTCATTGGACATCAGAGGATTCACACAGGGGAAAAACCTTATATATGCACTGAATGCGGGAAAGCCTTCTCTCAGAAGTCCCACCTCCCAGGGCATCGGCGCATTCATACAGGAGAGAAGCCTTACATATGTGCTGAGTGTGGAAAGGCCTTTTCCCAGAAGTCAGACCTTGTTTTACATCAGAGAATTCATACCGGGGAAAGACCCTATCGTTGTGCTACTTGTGGGAAAGGCTTCATCCAGAAGTCCCAACTCACCGTACACCAGAGAATTCACAACAGCGTGAAAGCTGTAATGGACTGAGCACAGAGAAGCCTTCAGTGTTAGTTCAAGCCTTAATAAATACTAGAACCCTGAGTAATTTGATACATTTGTGAAAGACATATTATACATAACATTTTAGAATTCATGTCTGTAATGTGATGATACCTAATTCTTTCAGCAAAGATGATGGAAAATTAAATCAACATGGTATGTAAAACTTTTAAACCTATGATCTAAATGGTCAGTAGAACAAAATTTTGTATACAGAATGTTGTCAAGTTACATATTCTTTATTATACCACATAACAATAAGCAGACATTGTGAAATTGCTAATATTAGCTTACCCTAATTTTGACCATACAGCCATACTCTATAAAGGATGTGAAGAAAGCCTGAGTAAAAAAAAAAGTCAATTCCTAGAAATTGCATTATAAGGAGGGACTTAGCTTGACCCCTAAAGATACATGTAAAATTCTTACATAAAGATGGAAAGGTAGGTTAACCAAATTTAATAAAGGTGCTGTTTATATGTTTTCCCATCTCAGGCATGTAAGTTGGCCTCTATATCTGGAAACTACCTAGACCTTGAAATTGTTGCTTCTAGACCAGGTCCCGCTCTCCTCTCCCTCACTGGGGATTTGGAATGGTGGAAAGACTTTGGGACAGAACCGAATGGTATTGGGTTAAATCCAGGCTCAGTGATTCACAAGTAATGTGACTTCAGGCCAGCCTGCTTCACCCGTCTGAGTATTTTTTCTTATTGGTAAATAAAAGAGCAATGCAGGGCACATTTTTAAATTAATATTAGTTCTTTTTAATTTTTACTCTCTACCCTGCTGAAACAGGGTGCTAAGACTAATGTTTACAAGACACATCTGAACTTGCTTTGTATTGCAGACACCCTTGCTTTTGATATCTCTGTCCTATAACTGGTTCATTTTACTGTCTTTGGTCCTGGTGGCCTTGATTACCGGTATGGCAAAATGACATCTATTATACTTACTTGGATGTTTACCTACACTTATTTATATAAACTGTGGTGATTGCACATAATGACCCTTGACTAATGTCTCTTCAGTTCCCTTTAGACCCCTGCCCTGCAGCCTCAGCTGTTTTCCTTGAGAAGCAAGGGCACTTACAGGGAAAACTTGGGCTGAGAAATCATGCCTGCCATAGATTTGAGAAGTTGGCATCTCTAAACTGTTTCCCGCCCTCCTTCCTGTGCTTTTACCTGTTTGTCCATGGGCAGCTGTAGATGAGGACCCATGCTGGAGGTGCACCCCAGGGGAGCATGCTTGGCAAGGGTGAGGGTGTCTGTGTGGATAAACACAGTTTACCCATGTTCTCCTAGTTCCCATTGATTCCTTCACATATCCTGCTCACCCAGTCCCCTTGTAGCATGCCTGAAGTGTCTGTCTTGAAAAGACAGGACCCCTCTAGGTGAACCTCTGCAGGGGAGAGGGTGCACCTGACCAGGATGTGGGAACCTGTGTGGGCCAGTCCTGGTCTCATCATAAAGAGTGAGCTGAGAACCCTACCATCAGATATAACTGGCCGATCAGGCGTGGGGAAGAAGGCCTAGGGGTACATTTCATGGGTTGAGCCACTCAGAGGGTTCCTCATGGAAGATGTCCCAGTTGGACCTTATGAGGGCAAGAGAAGGACAAGGGATTCTATTGGGAACACACAAAGTTAGTGAAGAGCAACTTAGGTAGAATTACAAACTCAATTCCTACCTCAAAGACCTCCCATTTGATCTTTTCACTATCAGCCCCCAGGCAACCTCGTTGATCTGATAATGGGTTTCTATATAAATCCCACTTCAGAATTAGCATCTACTGGTTTAACACTTCCCTTCAGCATTGTGCTAGAAGAGCTACCCAGTGCAGTGGGGTAAGAAAAAGAAACGATAGAAAGATTGGAAAGGAGAAAATAAAATGAACATATTTGTGGATGATACAATTGTGTATAAAGAAAAGGAACATACTGATTAAGTTTTAGAATTAAAGGTTAGTTGCTTTAAGCAATTTTAATATTAAATAAACTAATTCAACAAACCACCAACGGTGAAAATTTAAAGATGCCATTTACATTAGCATCAAAAATATAAAACACCTAATATAAATCTAATCATTAAGTATAGGACCTCTACATAGAAATAACAAAATGCAGTCTGAGATCCTGGATAGGAGCTTGGAACAGAAAAAGGGCTTTTAAAAACAGTGGAGCCCTGGCTGGTGTGGCTCAGTAGATTGAATGCCGGCCTGTGAACAAAAGAGTCGCCGGTTCCATTCCCAGTCAGGGCACGTGCCTGGGTTGCGGGCCAGGTCCTCAGTTGGCAGAGTGCAAGAGGCAACCATGCACTGATATTTCTCTCCCTTTCTTTCTCCCTCCCTTACCCTCTCAAAAAGTAAATAAATAAAATCTTTAAGAAAAAAAAATTCTTCCTAAAAAGAAGTGGAAAACTGATGAAATTCAAATATGATTTTTATATTAATAATATTGTACCCATGTTAATTTCCTGGTTTTCATCATTGTACTATGTTTATGTAAGATATTAACGTGAGAGGAACCTGGGTGAGGGACATCAGGACACTATTTGCAACTTTTCTGTAATCTAAAATATGTTCTTTTTTAAAAAAATCCATTTTTGCTTATTAATAATTTAAAAAACTTTTACCAATATCTGGCAAAGAGCACAAGTTTTGTAGTCAGACATAGCTTGAAATCCTAACTGATGACATACACAGGTCACTTCAATCCTCTGACCTTCCATTTCCTTCATTGAGAACGGAGATGACAGTGCCTTAATCGTAGAATTGTTAGGGGCAACTAGATGTGATGGTCAAGTGCCGCAGCTAGCACGGAGTAGGTAAGCAGCAGGTTTTTCTTCCCACAGGAGATATCTGTTCACTGCATGGCGGAGTTGACCTAGTGCCCCATGGAGATCACAATCCAGGAGGAGAACAGCCAGGTCATTTTGACATTACGCAGTTGCTTTCTCATGGTAGAAAAGCTCAAGGAGAGCATGTCCGTGGTGCCAAGAAGGAGTTTCTAGTAGGAAGACATGATCAGCCACATGATACAAAAGCTGGGGGGAAAAAATGGCTCCGTGTGAGCAATGCCACAATCACTGAGTCCCTAGGCTGATACCGCACAGCAGCAGCCAGGGGTGAGCCTCATTGGTTTAAGCGACTCACACTCAAACCCTCCCCCAGATGCTCAGCCACAGAAAGTCTCGTGTCTCCCCATTTCCCCTTCAAAGTTTAAACCATTTTTTTAATGGAGCTCTGCCTGACTCTGCAATTATGGAAACCCTGTGGATGTCTTTCTGTATTTTTCACTCAGCGCCCTTTCTCTTGGCTACAGCCACCTCAGAGCCAGCCCAGGCCAGTGAAACAGGAGGTCATGGCATCCACCAGCAAAACAGATTATCTCACCGCAGGGTTTACCTCCCAGAGTTGGGGACAGTTGTTTTCCTTTCATCTCTAGGTAAAGCCAGCACCTTTCTTGGCATTGTGAGGTAATGTTGTAACTGGGATGGTGCCTCTGCCATTGCTCCTTTGCCCAGATTTGGTCCTGGTGTGATTGTGCATGAACTGATGAGTATCTGATGTGTGCAAAGGATGTAATGGCTCTGTGTCTTGGCACACAGCTGTCTGCAAGGAATGGGGCTGCTGTCCTGCCCCAAGTCCCAGTGCAGTGGGACGGCCTGGGATCCTGAACAGGGGGAAAGGGAGGTCTGAAGAGGACCTATCTCCTCTGACATGGGAGACGAGGATGGCATGTCAGTGCATCTGGGCTGCTGTAACAAGTTACACAGGGTGACTTATTGCAACATACATTTATCTCTCAGTTCTGGAGGCTGAAGGTCAGGATGCCAGCATGGTCCCATCCTGGGGAGAACACTCTTCTGTAAGCGACTCATACCATTCCTGAGGGCTCTGTCCTCATGACCTAGTCACATGGCAAGACTCCACCCCCTAACATTGTCACCTGGAGGGTTAGGATTGCCACATGAACTTTGAAGGGATACACACAAACATTCAGACCCCAGCAAGTGGTGTGGGCAGAAACAATCGGGAAGTAACAAGGGAGGAGGCATTCACCTAACGCCTCCAGTAGTTCTAGACCAAATGATCTTAACGGGGTCCATTGGGCCCTTGGGCGTGGTTAGAATTCAGGGACTTCAGGGACTTAAATGGGGAGTTAAGTATTTATTTCCTACTTTGATGTAAATGTAAAGGATTTATTTAGCAAGGCTTTACACAGTATCTGCTGTGTGCCAGTCACAGTGCTAAATCCTTTAGAAATAGTAACTTGTTTGGTCTTCAAAACAAGTCAATGAGGTAGATTCCTATTGACATCCCTTCACAAAGTTCGGTCTTAAACAGCCTCTTCAGAATTCAGACAGTCATTTTAGAGAGGCTTTCTAAAATATTCTGTTAGATATCAACAATATATATTTAATATTAATATAAGATGTAATATTGTATAAATAATTCATTTCCCTTCCTTTAATGTAAAAAATATCCTCATTCCCTCCCTATGGGGGGGGATCAAGGTTTCCGTCATTTGTCCTAAAGCTCAAAAGTTCAGTCTCATGACAGTTTCTGTGTAAGTTTCAGATGCGCCTTCTCTCAATCCAGAGACATGTGAACTAAAACTCATGCACAACTAACATTTGCTGAAGGAACGAACAGGGATAGGATAACTACTATGAACACTGCTGTTTGGACAAAGAAAGATCAGAAGTCTGCAGTAACCTCTTACGCCAGTGAACACCTCCCCTTGAATCTGATCTGGCCCCATGGCCCCCTTTAAACAGTAGACTGTGACGTGGGTGGTGGTATGTCATCCCTGGCCTCCCACTTAAGGGACGTGACCATTTCAATTTTGCACTCTTAGGGTCCAGCCTCCATAGAAGAAGTCTGATTATCCTGAGACCACTAAACTTTTAAGGGTGCCTAAGTGAGCCACTTGAAGATGTCACATAAGGGAGGATAAAAGGGCTTTGATTGACAGCCCCACATGAAATCCCAGCTTTCCGCCAGCACCAACAGCCACCATCCTGGACATTCCA